TCTGTCCTGCTGGGAGTCGGCACCGACCGCTGCAGATTTTACAAAACGTCGCGAATCAGCTTCACGAGTTTCGAGAGTGTTATTACTTCCGGAACAGGGCTTCGAAGGTGGGCCAGCGCGAGCGAAGTTGCATGTCGCCGGATCACGTGATCCCCGCTGCGCCACGAGAATTCAAAATTAGACGATGACGCACACGTGTGTAACCGAACCGCCACCTCCTTTGCTCCCGTTCCTCCACCCGGAAGTTTCAGCCGCGGGATGAACTAGCAGCGGCAGTTCCCTCGGTTCATCTGCAAACTTTTTACCCCCCGGAACTTCCTCCGCCTCTAAAGACATCTGTAACGAGTTTTACCGCGTTCCATCTTAACCGCTAATCGCGCGATATTCCCAACGAATTGGTGCAATTCGTTCGGAAAGAAGAGGGAACAAGTTGTCGAAAGATGTTTCGCGAAATTGACGACTTTTAGAATGGAATCTGATTAGCCGGTGGGAGAATATTGACGAGTTCGGGAAGGATCTCTACGGGATTCGTTCGGTTTCCGGGACGCCTGCAGCCGGAATAGTTGGCTGATTGACTTGCAAAGTTGGAATGTTTTCGATCAGAGTAATCGTGTTATCCGCGTGCTGGGGCTGATACACGCGCGAATCGATGCTCCAACTTTCCACGCTACTTCCGCCGTAATGTAGTCGTTCGCGTGACAGCCTGCGCGAGCTTCGTGGTTTTAATATATCAGTTTCGTTTTATTTAGCGGGGGTTTCTTGGAGTTGGAAGAATCGTGAGAGGAGAGCTTGGAGGGAATTGATGTTCTTGAGATTAGACGTTTTTTATTGAAAGTTGGAAGAATTGAGAGAGGAGAGTTTGTAGGAAATTGATATTCTCGAGATTAGATATTTTTTTAGAATTGAATTGAGGGTCAATTTTTTGAAAATTGGAAAAACAGCACATATGCCAAAATACCATTTTAAGAAAATCGATTCCCAAGTTTTCATCATCGTATTATTTAATAAAAAATAATGCAATTAAATTCGGAAGAGAAGTAATATGTTTTTGATATATTATATACATATATAATACATAAGGAAAAGTTCTTTCTTTCGATTTTCCATCAATGGCCTCAATAGTTAGATAATTAGAGCAATTTTGAAATTGTTCGTCGCGAATAGTGTCAGGTTGGTCGCAGTTTTAGCAGACTGCTCCCTTTTCAAATTTTCCACTCAAATGCACATTAATGCATTCACGCATTGACGACGCTGATATAATTATCGCCAAATATTTGAATACTCTTACTACCTGATTAACCAAACCCAGTGGTTCCTCTATCGATGGACGTATTCGTTTATTCATTATAACAGGAACAACATCGATGAATTGAATTTACTCGATCGATATCACCGCGAATCTCTGATCGAATATTCGAAATCAAGTTCGAAATAAAAAACTTTTCATTCGATATTCCTCAAACAGGACAGCATCGACGATCGTAAGAGCGCGCGAGTCTCCGCGAGAGAAGCGTAGGAGAAATAAAGAGGCGAAACCTCTATATGCAGGAAGCAGAAATCCATCGAGGAACTGCGGGTCGTAAAAAAAAATTTTTATAACCCTCTTCCGCGTCCACCGGCAATCCGATTGGCTTCATTTAGAAAACTGCGTTGCATTAGCGCAATCAACCTGGCCACCCCTTAATTTGCATAATTCCCCGTCTGCTTTTCGCGATGGATTTCCACTTGGAAAATGAATTTTTTTCTCCAAGGGTGAAACGAAGTTTCAAGGAAATTTGTCCCGCGTAAAAACTTGGAAGAAGGAGGAACAAACTCGAACGCGCGTGGTTTTTCCCCGTATTTTATGTCAGAATTTGCAACTTTTACGATCCGATTTAACTTTCACTCCTTCGACAGAGTCGTTCCGCTTCCCGTGTCGCACAATCTCCAAATTGGCCATTTTCGAACGAGCTGCTTTTTCTTCCGCAAGGTATTCAAATTCCAAATCTTTCGATTCTTTTAACGAACGAAAATTCCACGAAGATTGAGGAATTTAGCTCGTAGAAATTCTGCAAATTTGCCTCGTGAAAAATCTGAAAATTTGTCTCAAGAAAAGTATGAAAATTCGTCACATAAAAAATCTGAAAATTTTCCTCAAGAAAAATCTGAAAATTTGCCTCATGAAAAATCTGAAAATTCGACTCGAGAAAAATATGAAAATTTGCCTCGTGAAAAGTCTGAAACTGAAAATTTGCCTTGTGGAAAATCTGAAAATTTGCTTCGTGTAAAGTTTGAAAATTTGCCTCGTGACAAATCTGAAAAATTGCCTCGTGAAAGATCTGAAAATTCTTCTTTCGCATGTTAATGGAATTTCCCCGCGAGGTAAACACGATTATGCAAGAAAAATTTTCGTCAAAATTTTCGTGCAAGAGTTTTCGTCAAAAGAGAACTATCTTTTCCTAACAAAGTACTGAAATTCTCCAATTGTCCGATCCTTTTAAACGAAAGTTTGCCTGATAAAAAATACAGAAATTTTCCCGATGAAAAAATTCTTCTTTCACGAGCTAACCGAACTGCCCCGTGGGGTAAACACGACTGTTCGGGAAATATCTTTTTCCCCATCGGTCCTTCTCCAGTATGATTTCTCGTTGAAGGAGAGGAAAAAAAGGTCCGTGATTCGGTTACAACGACGGCCACCGTGATCGGAAAGTTCGATCACGGCGAGGGACGAAGAGAGAGAGAGTGAGAGAGAGCAGGGAAGAGGACGGAGGTTACGCGGGACAGCTGGTGGAAAATTTAGTTTGCGAGTAACTCGAATAACTCGCATAAATTTCCTTCCCTTCGGTTCGGTTTTTGGACACGCTCGTCGGTCATCCGACATTACCAATTTCTATTCCATGCCGCCGCCCTCGGCGGCCGTTAGTTTTCCAACTGGAAAACGCGATATCCAGGACCCCCACACTATATAGAATCGGACCAACGAATCGACGTACCTATCGAGTCGATGCACGTGCGTTCGCGCCACCCGTTTAACTAGTTCTCTCTCTTTGCAGTTAGCCACGTAACTTCCGCTCAGTTAGGCTCGTTAATTTCAATTTCGAAAGTCTCTACCTACTACGTTCGATATTTCCAAAGGATGAAATGGAGTTATAGAATTAAAGGAAACACCGGTCACAACAGACCATCTAAAACTTGCCTAAAGTATAGCTTCTTGTGCTTTAACTTTAACCCTTTGCGCTCCTACGTTAAGTCACATTCGGCATTTTTAAATTGCCAGTTTAAATGTGTACTATATTTCGCAATATTTTTTTTTACTTGGATAAGCAACACTACATCTATATGACCCTTTTTTATAACGAAAAACGCCAATTGTGACGAGAAAGGGTCATATGAGTCTTTGAAGAAGATTTCAAATAAAATACTTAAAACAACGTGGAGTTTTTGGAAAGAAAATGTAAAAAAAATTGAGAGTGCAAAGGGGTAACAGTTTAATAATATTACAAATTCCGATAAAAAAAACGTATGTTTTCTTCATGTTGTAAAATACTTCAGTTTGTCGTAGAAAGTGAAAAAAACACATTTTGCGCGTACCTTCTTAAAAATTAGGCCGTGTACGATAGATTTTGAAACACGAACCTACGTCACACTCCTGACAAAAATATCTCGTCTCTTTTCTGACTTTCTTTCCATTCGTTCGTTCTGAGGAACACAATCTATATGGTTTATTTTTATCAACAACAAGAAACTTCGATATCTACGGTAGACTAAACGTTTGGACGTGTGCCTGCTCATGTCTCACACGGGACAAACTGTTAAAGGGTTAAAGAAAATCTGAACCGCGACAAAATGCTTAACTTGGCTTCGTCGAAGAAACAAACCTAACCGACAAGATATAGCGAAACAACGCAGACTGTTGAACGTCGCTGATACGACGAAAAACAGGGAGGGAAAGGAAAAAAAACGTGATAGTTTCTTTTATCGCGAATAGAGCATACACTGAGATTGTGAAACAGCGAAACGATCCGTTGAAACTTTTCCTTTGAACAGTTTCCCTCTCCTCCCACTTTGAATGTATAAACAAGACAGCTTCTGCTTTTTAAACGCGACCAGTTCGCGGGCAAGAACGCGATAACTTTCCCCTTTTAATCCCCGTCCGCGAATTAAATCATTCTCTCTCTCCTTTGTTCCCTCGGGTTGACGGGACAGTTAATGCGGCTCGAAAAAATGCCACCTCCTTTCCCATGCAAATCCACGTCGCTCGCCTCGAATAAAGAATCCTCCAACTCTCTATCACCGATGAAATAAACGTTTCACTCTTCTAAGAGAAAATTTATCCTCGAGATTTCACCAAGATCGATTTCTTTCAAATCGAAAACTAGCGTTGCCCCAATTCCTGCCCTCAGTTTCGAGAAATTCAGGCAAAATCGGGCGTCACAGAACGAAATGCAAGCGAGCAGATTCTGTCAATTTTTCACAAAGTAGAATTTACAGGAAATTTCGCGGAGGAGAGATCGGTGGTGACCGGAGTTCGGTGAATTATTCGGTTTATCTTCCAGCCAGTTATTACCCGAATAATTTAGGCGAGCTTTGTTGCTAGAGAATACAGCAAGTTTCGAGGTCGGCTATTGGGCCCGGTTCACCGTGGTTTCGTCGATACAAATTTCGAAAGTGATGATGAAGCAACGAAGCAAGTTTAACCTCTAGTTTCGAACGACTGCCTTCCTAGCACTTTGCCACTACGTGTCCTGTCTCTAGATATATCCTTCGCTATGATACATAAATTTATTAGAAAGTTCGAAAGAAGTAGAAACGAAGCTCCTAGTGGACAAACTTTTTCCCCTGTACGAGAAATTACGCGACAAACTGGTAAATAACGAATTGGGAATCTCGAAATGCTTTCTGGCGTGCAGCAGCTCGGTCTGTCGAGAAAGACCGGTTAGAAGAGTAGGTGTTAAGCGTGTAAAAAGCTCGAGGAGGAAAGATGTCCCTCGCACACTGACCACTTTTCACGTGTGTTGCAGCTACGAGAGTACACGCTGACCGAAACGTATCACGAAGACGACGTCGAGGTGGAGTTCGTCAGCAACGACAATCTACTAGCGAACAGTCCGACCCCCAGGGGGACCGATCCGAACAGAGAACTGAACGAGGCCATCGCTGAGGAGAGGAAGGAAATGGACACTCAGAGATACAGGTACACCTTCCATCTATTTTTATCGAATTCTCCGCGCGAATTGCTCGAGACAATTTTTGAATGTTACGGAATTACGTTTCGGTTGGTGTTGGGACACTCGTCGAATGGGAACTGGTTCCAGACGGTCGTTGAGAAATTATTGAAATTGTGAAAAAAGTTATTCAGCGTGGAATCTTGTGGTGTAAGGAGCGTACTTTTGGTGATACTGTAGGAGACTCTGTAACGCGAGAATTATGATAGAAATTAGGTTCCATCGACATCGGTTTTTGGGGGAAATTTAATTAATCCAAATTTTTTATTTTAATTTTGATCGCGTTATATGGAGACAGTACAAATTTTTGATCGCGATATACGGGATTCTGCTCTATATTCAATCTCCATTCGTAAATTTTGCCTTTTTTCATTGCATATGTTGGATTATTTCTAACAACACCCTATGGAAATAGTCAAGTGAGGACAAAAATGTCTCCGCGTTATTTTAAACAAAGGCACTAAGACTTCCACCAGATGTGTCTGGTGTCCTTCTTTGGGTGTTCTTCTTTTTGGGTGCCCAGGAACAGTCCTTTAGAACATTCCAAAGAGTAAAGACGTTTCCTCTGAGTCCGTCAATAAATAGCATATCACAAGATAGAAAGACTATTTCATTTTCATAACCCATTTCCAATAAGTTATATTAAGTATTCTCGTAAATTTACGTTCTATTGATAATAGGTGTCTCCTAGTACGCCCGAACGACAGTGCAAATGCACAATGCATCGTTCGTAAGCCACTCACAAGTCAAAGTGCCTAACTCCGTCAATTTTAGATCAATTAAATTTATTAAATTTCTGAAAAATTAACATTGTCATCGTTTTAACTTCCGACTGGCTCAGTCACCGATCAAATTCCCTAATTACACCGACTCCCAGACAGAGCGATCCTTTAAAAAAATTTGTCATCCTCGACAATCAGTACCGATATCGACAAACATGTCGACATAGCAATACCTAAGATTGCACAGAAAAGGAAGCTTATCTGGACACAACAAGATCTTACTGTCCCCGCGAAAACCAGTTCGATTTTACCATCGACAATGGTGGCAATGAAGTTTAAGAAATAGGTCGTGAACAGAGGGGAACGCTAACAGAAGCTTTAGGTCAGGAACAGGAAGACGCGTTGAATGGACAGCCTGGACCAGCTGGTCGAAAACCGCGCGACAATGTGTTGAAAAGGGGGTCTGGAAATAGGACATTATCGAGAGCACAGGCTGGAAAGATGGTCCTCTTTGCCATTTCCGGCGTTTTCTTCTATATACAGAGAGATGGTCCGACACATCTATCTCTCGCGCTTTCTGAATTTCTCTCATTCGCTCTAGCATCCTGTTCGTATCGTTTCAAAAATCCCTTCCTATTCCATCCCTTCTCACCTCCTTTCTCGCTCTATTTTCCTCTTTAACTTTTACGATCGACTGCCAAGACCGGTTTCATAGAGGAAGTTCGTCCTTTTTTCCTGCCTTTCGAAACGTCGAAGTGCTGCCTGCCTGGGCTTGGCTTGGCTGGCTTTGTAAAACGAGAAACGCACGCGGAATCGTTATTCCGGCTTGTATATCTCGGCGGTGCACAGCAGGTATTCGGAAAACTTGCGCGCTCCAAGTTGCGGGAATTTTTCACCTCTTTCAAGCCCGGCGAGAAATCTGACCCGGTATTCGAGGCGCTCCTTGAATTAGAGTAATTGCGCGGAGCAGCTACTGGTAATCGCGTAAACACCCGGGGATCGACCGGCAACACCCGTGTTCGACTGGCCTCTTTTCTTTTTCTTTTTTTCATTCGAGAATCTGCGCTGTGGGAGCTGATAGTTGGGAAATGCGGAACTATGGAGGCTGAATTACAGAGTGAAATGGTGGAGAGTTAGAGATTGTAGGGGAGAGTAAATGAATTTTTCGTGAAATGATGGAAATACCATCGAAGAATTTCCTTTGTATTTCTTGTTGCGAGGATTGATGATAAAAATATGCAATTTGTATCGTATCAGGCTGTTGCATATGAAATGACCGATTTTACAAGAGTGTAGTAAAGGATTCAGAATTTTTTTTTTTACTGTGCTACTAGGTAGTAGGATTATTTATGCAGCAATTTAAAGCTTGAAGTTAGATTTCGATCATTTTTTTATCATTAAATGGCAAATTGGGCGTAAGAGCAAATTTCAGTGAGCACTTTTTAATTGGAAAGAAGTTTAGCAACGAAAATGAGGTAGAAACATTCTATTTTTTTTAAATAAAGGCATAAATAGCTTTGTGTATCGAAACTAACATGGGTTAAATTTAAACTTTGATTGATAAATATTGTTTTTACTAAATCTACAGATGGTGAAAGTTTCCTTAACCCTTTCGCTGCGGCAAATTTTAATGCGCAACGTGTGTGACAGCTGGTAAATTTTTAGCCACGGTCGCAAAATTAGTTATTTAGGTCGTATCGTTTAAAGACCCAGTTTATTAAATTAAGGTAACGGTGCATAAAGGATAAAATTATGAAATTATGCGAGAAAATTGTGAAAACGTCTATAGGCGCCAATAGTAATGAAAGGGTTAAATGGTAAATTGTGTACGAAATCAAATTCCACTTGGAAAGAAGTTTAATAACAAAACTGAAGTAAAAAACGTTACATTTTTTGAAATAAATAACCTTTCGCAATTCTCAAAGGGATCATACTTCGACTAACAATCACTATTTCCCCCAAATCCACAGACGTTGCAAATTTCCTCAATTCGTCGATGCTTTCATTTGCAAACACCTGAGACACCTAGCGATTCTCAGACACGTCTTCCGCGAAATCGCGACAGCGCAACGGCACAGTTCGATACCCCGGCATCTCCTGGATATTATTTATCCGCCGTAAAGCGGGAACCCATGAAAATGCAATAAGAGGCGACCGCGAATCAAATACGTTTCCTGGGCCGATTCCCCTGGGTCAGCGTATACCTTTGACATCTGATGCCCGATAACGATATTACTTTTCCGCGAACTCGCCGATTCTCGCTGGCAATTTCTGCGATACGCCCCGAACAAAGTAGAGTGCTCTTATCGTTCGTAATATCCGGCCGGATCCCTGGCCCGTCCGTCGCGTATGTCCGTCGACATGATCGCCTCGAAACGAACCAGTATCCCTCGAAACTTTTCCCTTACTTTATACGCCGACGACCGACCCTCCTAACCTTCTCCTCTCCTCTCCACTCTTTCATCTGCAACGTCTTTGCTCGCTCCCTTCTCCCTTCCTTTTTTCTCGAACAGAGAGGAATGAGAGAGGTATGGGGGAGGAAGAGCAATTTTTATTTAATCAAGTTCAAGAAGGGTCGTTCATTGTGTCGAATCGAATCGAGCACTCGATACAACATTAAGGCGATTGAGGTATTGAAAGGGGGAGAAGAGAGAGTGTTGAGGGAGAGATTAAAGTCGTTCGAATTTGAATTCCAAAGAGAGTCGTTCGTGAGAAGTGTCGTTTAAAAGTGTAGGTTTGAGGGTGAAGGGTTTGTAAGGTTTTGAAGGATAGAACGTGTAAGGAGGGTGTATTCCTAAGTGATAGTTAGCGATATTAATGAAAGTTTGGTGTAAGGTAGTATTTGGAAGAATTATTGAGAAGTACTTTTTTTTATTGGCAATTGTTCATGTTGGAGGGGTGAATAGTTTTTCGAGAGATAATGCGTATTGAAGTTTTATTGAGAGTCGTGATTGTCACTTATGGATGTTCTTTTGGAAGTTCTGAATTTATTTAAGTTTTTTCTTTGGTGTCTCGTAATAACGCGTTGACACGCAAAAGTCTCGTTTTGTCATCGAAATTAAAGCGCAAAAGTCTCGTTGTGTCATCGAAACTAAAGCGCGAAAGTCTCATTTTGTCATCGAAATTAAAGCGCGAACGTCTCGTTTTGTCAGCGAAACTGAAACGCAAAATACTCATTTCGTCACCGAAACTAAAACACAAAAATCTCGTTTTGTCATCGGAATTAAAGCGCAAAAGTCCCGTTTTGTCATCGAAACTAAAGCGCAAAAATCTCGTTTTTTCATCGAAATTAAAGCGCCACAGATTCCTTTTGTTACCGAAACTAAAGCGCAAAAATCTCGTTTTGTCATCGAAACTAAAGCGCGAAAGTTTCCTTTTGTCATCGAAACTAAAGCGCAAAAATCTCGTTTTTTCATCGAAATTAAATCGCCACAGTTTCCTTTTGTTACCGAAACTAAAGCGCAAAAATCTCGTTTCGTCATCGAAACTAAAGCGCGAAAGTCTCGTTTTGTCATCGAAACTAAAACGCAAAAGTCTCCTTTTGTTATCGAAATTAAAGCGCAAAGGTCTCGTTTTGTCCTTGAAACCAAAGCGCAAAAGACTCATTTCTTCGTCAAAACCAAAGCGCCAAAGTCTCATTTTTTGAGAAATCTACACAACGAAACCAAAACCCTCGCAGAAAAAAGCAATCTTTCTCTTCCCAAAAATTCGCAGCCGCAAGATCATCCCCACACCTCGTCTTAAACAAAAAACCGACACAAGGGTGTCTCGCGTTTGACCAATTAGACCATCTCGACTCTCTAAAACCGTGGAATCGGGGAAACAAACGTTATCGCCAAGCAAAAAAAAAAAAAAAAAGAACGTCCTATCGATCGAGCGAATAAATTTTTTTCCCCGGAATTGTTTCGACGTCCGCGGAGAGGAGGGAAGAGAAACAGCGTGATACCTGTGCGTCCCGGTCAGCGACAAGCGTAAAATACGTTGTTTCGGGCGCGAAACTTTTAACCAAATTGGAACACCATCGAGCGGAATTTATTTTTTATTTTTCCGGGGCTTATACACGGCGCTAGGGAGGGGAGGAGAAGAGACGCGCGCGAGTCCCTTCGAATCGTCGCCTCGAAAAGCTCTCCGATCAAAGCTGCGTTTCCCGAGTGCAGGCTTTTCTATTCACCAGAAACGATCATTCATCTTCAACTACTCTCCGTATATACGTACACCGTACAGCGTAATCACCGGAGAATCAATTG